TCCTCGACTCCGACTCCACAGCCCTGCCACCAATCGCATGGCTTAATGAAGTTTAAAAGTTAAAATGTTCTCCAAAGACCCTCCCTCAAATCCATTTTCCACTAAACTGTCATCACTAGTCTTCCCAGAATGGTGCTTGGGCTTCCCAAAAATAAGTTCAGCTCTCAAAAATCAAAAACTTCTCCCTCCGGTTGACATGGCATTATCCCTGACATGGCATTACTAGACAGGCATTACTTAAACCTTTTACCTATCAAGGATGGAATGAAATCTTGTATGTGTATCCAACACTGATTGGACATTTATCGTAGCAGTCCTGGATAAAACCTGAAACCTTTACTCCTTTACTTGATAGATCCTGTTTTCAATATAAACAATCCCATCTCGCTCTATCGACAACTCAATGCTTATCCCAATTAATTCAAATGCCAGAGGTATATAATTGATATTTTTCAAAGAGAAATTCTGGCTTCAATACAAATGTGCAAACAGAAATTAAGATATATATATCAGATTAAGTATACACATATACAGAATGGTTCTGTATATAACATATAACATGGTTCGTAAGAAGTTAGCAGTATGCTGTTATTGTCCATTGTGCACCTTAAATACATTCAAGAAAATAAATTCTGAATGCGTGTTATGAATGCATATTTAATGAATAAAATAAATGAATAAAGATTAAAGTCATGTATTAGCAAATGGTGAGACCATTAGCACAAAAATATTCTGTGTATAATCATTGCAAGCAAGATTGCAACTGAATAGAGTTAAGTCAATTGGCTGATTGAAACAAAATTATAAATTATGTTAAGTACTCTCCAAAGTTAAGAAGCTTTTAACAATTATTTACAATTAGGAGACGGATTGCATATTGTGTTCTGATTCTGGAAACAGTTCACTACATTTTATGAAATGATGTGATAGTTGGATTATGTAAAAAGAGGACTTTCTATCTTTTAAAAAGTACTTCTAAAGTTGAAAATTGGACCATTCTTGGTCATACACATTCAAAAGTGAGAGACAATGGGCAAAATGAAATATGTGGCAATTAAGCTGCAGTCAGAGGAAGTAATTTAAAACTGAAAATCATGCATGCTATTACTTATGTATTTTCTTCTTACATTTCTTTGTATTAAAAAGAAGCGCTTTTCCACTGGCAGCAATTAAAAATTCATTCTTGCAGAATGCTGACTGCATTTGTATGTATAAATAACTAGCTGTGAAAATCGATCTAGAAGCTTTTTGTTCAACAGGTGGCTTCTACTTGTATTACTAACAGGTTCTATAAGTGATGAAGAAGAACTAAGCAAAAATAATGTTTTCATGATCTTGGAAATAACAATTTTCTTACGATACTATAACAAATGATAGAATACTGCCATTCGTAGTATGCACATTGACAACTGCATACTAAATTACTATGAATTTTTGAAACAGAGCTGATTTCAGGACAACACTCAACCCAACAATCAATATAACAAACACCAGAAAGCACATGCAATAAAAATGTAGAAAATAAATCATATACAGTCCATCATGTACAGTCACATGAAAATGTAAGTATACTCCATTGAACTTTATTTTTTCAATATACATATATCTGATTTTCATTTCAACAATACTGATAAAAGAGATATAATACAATGACTATCATGTACTACTTACATTTCGTAATCCATTCTGTAATTTAAATAAACACCAGTGCAAATTTCTCATGCGGAAAAATTAAGTGTACCCCTATATTTGTTACTGCTACAAATACATAAAATTAATATCTGGTGCCCAGTTTATCTGCAGGTTCCCCAAGGACATCTAACCATCATACCAGGTTAGATAGGGTGGGCATACTCTTAGTCTTTTTCTTTAAACATTGCCACCATATTGGAGCATGTTTTTTTCTGTGGCAGTTACTGTCTTCCGGAACATTCTTCTTCCTAACATTCGGCAGGCCTCTAGCCTCCTAGCTAGCCTGACGACCTTTTCCCCCAAGCACTGTGACAGATGAGGTGACTGAATATCGAAAGCTTCACTTGTGCCAGGTTTTTGTTTTTAATTTTTAAGAGTTTAAATATGGTTTTTATGTTATTTTAATGCTTGATTGGTCACTGCTCAGAGTTTGATATAAGATGGATGGCTATACAAATGTTTTAAATAGTAAATAAACACACAAACCATAATTCATCATTACTGAGCCCTTCAAACACCACATTCTGAAGTTTCTCTTCCTCTGATATTTACTATCTGTTTAAAATAGTTTACTATGTTTTCTCTATAACTTTATAAGGAGCGCATTAACACATAAGAGTGAAAAAAATGATTTTCATACCTCTATTTTTGTTCGATAAAGAATTAAACGTGTAATGTTGCACAATTTGGCAATGTGGTTGAAAGCCTGAGATGGAATTTTATCACAGGAGGAGAGATTTAATTCCTGCAAATTTAAACATGTGTCAGCAATAACTTCCAAACAAGCCTCATTGAGGAAATGGCCACAAGACAATTCCAGGCGTACTAGTTCTGAACCACAAACTTTCAGGAACCTGTAAGAAGCATATATGAATCAATTCACCAAGAAAAGTAATGCATTTGCTTTTAATTCATTGTAAAAACTGGGTAAATTCCCAGAATTTTCAATGCCATGTCTTAATAGCTGACAAACAAAATTATGCATGCCTAACAAGGAACTATTTTAACATAGCAACAACTTCCTCCAAGATAATTGGAAGGTAATCATAATCAACTCCAGCATCCAAGACAATCCAGCTAGCCAAGGATTCTTTGTCACAGTTGCAATAAGTCAAATTCCAACATGTAAGCTTTTAATTATATTTAAATCCATTTATAAGTGTTACAAACTGATATCCAAAAATAATGTGATGCATTAATGTATTGGGGATCAAAATGCAGTATCCCATTATATCTGCGCAAACAAAAACATCTCCCCTCCAAACTCTCATGTAATTATGAACTACAGCTGACAGCTGGGTTTCATAATAATTGATATAAGCATTATTTGTATTCATTTACTGCATCTCTATTCAGTGTTTCCTGTGAGAGGTTGCATTTCACATACATAAAGAATTCCCTGCAATTTTATCCTTATATAAGAGATAGCTTGGTCTGGGAGACAATGATTTAGTTCAAAGTCACTCAGATGATTTGTAATGGACATGAGTCTCAATGGACCATTATGCTATCTGGCTGCCCTACCTTCTCTGTTTTGAAACCTGCATCATAGTTCTTGATGTTGCAGGGGTACAGTTCAACTTCATATTAAGGTTTTTGTGTGTCCTACACAACTCATCCCCTGAATTGTCAGTGTCAAGTGCAATACAGATGGGAAAAGCCCAAGGAAACAAGAGGAGATTGATCCTGAGAACAGGAACTATGATCCATGCAATCTAGCCAGCTTATATTCAACTGAAACAGTTCAAGCAAAACAAGAAAATAACAGAACAAAAAATAAAATCATTTCACGCAGCAGTCAAATTACATGGCTAAGTAGTTAGATTTTTAAAAATCAGAATAAATTAATTTGTATTGATTCATTCATTGTTTAAAATGTCACCAGCCGTAAAGAAGGGTTTTTTTTATTTTTAAAGGAGGAATATTGCTTTAATGTAGACATTTCATGTTGCCAAAGCATTTAAACAGAATTAAATGTTCTTCTGTTACAGAAGAAACAACAGCCTCTCACTACTGGTATTTCAAACACTATCAAAGATATTTACTAGTCTGCTGTTGTCAAAAAAGAATTCTCTCAATTTAATTTATTATATCAAGAATGTGTATGTGATAATACACCTCATCTATTAAAGTGTCTAAAGATTACTGATAGAACACTATAAAATTATTCAGCTATATCACATTAACATCATTTGATTATACGTGATTTATAGTCCCATTTAATATTTCTCAAACTCTGTCTAGCTCAAGCAAAGAAGTTTAGTATGTTTAGCAATTTTTACAAGTGAAATATTACAATATTCTTATATAGCACTACGGAGGTGGACACTATCAATAAGTTAAATTACCTTCAGTCTTGCCTCAGGATATTGAAATGCCTGAAGCGTTCTGTCCTCTCACGGTAATATTTTGTTAGTTTGTCAGCTATCCTAGATTACTATTCTAATTTGTTCTATTTCTTATTATTAATACACACTCTACTAATATTTACATTTTCAGAAAAATAAACAACATATCTGCTGTATATATTAGCAGCATATGAAAATATTTGTCAATTATTCAGTCTATCAATTACTAATTTTAGAAAAGAGAAAAAGCATTTTAAAACTGTAGGTACAAATTGATTATAGCTTACTTCTACTATTTACAGAATTTCCATTATCAACAATAAATGAAGTAACTAGAATTTTTGTTGTGTTCTTGATCGATATTTTCTTAAATGTTTGAATGTATAAAGTAGATTGTAATGAAACATGTCAACATATCAGCAGCCATTTATAGTCGTGGCCTTTAAAGAATTTACCTATGTTTTACTGTATGAATTCTGTGACAGATCCAACCATTAAACCATTAAAATGAACCCGGGTGGCACTGTGCTTAGAATGCAGTATTTCAGGCAAATTCTGCTCCCTGCCATAATTTAATCCTGATGGGGCTCAAGGTTGACTCAGCCTTCTATCCTTCCAAGGTTGGTAAAACGAGGACCCAGATTGTTGTGGGCAATAATGTTGACATTGTAAACTGCCCAGAAAATGCTAAGAAGCACTATGGGGCGGTATATACATTAAGTCTAAGTGCTACTTCTATTAAATATAAATCTAAATGAGATTCATTTGAGGCCAGAAAAGTACAGGGGTGTCAAACTGCCGGCCCGCAGGCCGGTTTCATCATACCGGAGCCGTGCCCACCCCATTGCCGGCAACGGCGAAAAAGCTTCAATACGTCACGCAACGTCACGTGACATCGCGAGTTTGACATGTCTGGGCTAAAAGGTCTACAAGTTTGGAGTTTGAAAAATATGCCATTTCAGCCAATGGCAAGATGTCCTAGAAAACCACAATGTTGAGATACTGGTTTTCATAAAAGATAGCGAAGTTGTTAAAGCAAATTTTCTTTGGCCAATGTTTTGTATTAAATTGCAGAAGATACATAATGCACAAAGGATTTACAAAGGCTGCAATTTTCTACCCCTTAGCAAGTTTAGCTTTTTTTAAAAAATCCAAATAAATAGTTCTCTGACAGAAAAACCTATTTTTGCTGAGAACCTTGTCTGTATCCCTACTTTTCCCCTATAGGAGGAGGAATTCACAAAACCATTCCAGAAAGCATTCTCTTTCCTACTGTGTTTACATACAGCTTTAAGTTTCAAAACCAGCCAAATGTTCGGTAGGTGGGGTAAAAAAATGAGTAGGAATACAAAAGACAACAGAAAGAAAATTTGAACTTTTCGACTCCCACTCTTGAAAAAGTGATCAGAACAAAGTCAAGTACATGAAAAACAGTTGCTAAACTTGCCTGCCAGGTTATCTCTCTGTCATGGATGTATGTCTTTGATGCTGCAAATGCATGGCTAGATGTATGCTTCTGAACTTGAACTATTGTGGATTGACTACAGTCATGTTAGTAACTTTTATTTTAACTGCTAGGTGATTGGGATAAAGGGATGAGTGTGTGATTTTATTTTATAGAATACGTTATATACCTCTTCAGAATACTGACCTGCTAAAAGCAGAAAATGAAATGGTTCCTCTGTTCCCAGTCCAAGATAAATTAAGCCACTGGACCAGGATACAACGAGACTGCAGATATTCTAAAGCTGTGTCATTAATCCTTGCCCAATATGGTTGCAAACTGAGATGAATATATTGTAGTGGATCACAACAATGTTGATATAGTAGCTTACATGTCTGTGATAGTCTACATAGATCCGGAACTGTAAGGTGACTCAAAATCAACTGGATGAGCTGAATTGAAAAACAACAATAAAAGTAAATTACTCTATCAAAATCATATTTTCATTCTAGGTAAAACATTATTCTAATTAAATTAATCTCCCCAACTTTCATTTCCATTATTTTACTAATTTTTATTTTAAACAAAAAAATGCATGATAGTTTCTGCTGTGGTACATACATTTCTATTTTGTGCTTGCTTGCAACCTCACCTTTCAGATTTAACCTGGGGTGCATAACTGTTCCTGCACAACGGGCTGCACTTAGCCTTAAATTGCATACTCCACCCTAAAGAGTTGAACAAGAGTTGAAATCTGATTTCTACGATTTCAATCAAATGTACTTAAAATTATATACATTTACTCTCCAGTCATATACAAGTAGCCCTTGCTTAACAACTGTCCTATTTAGTGGCCATTTGAACTTACAACAGCACTGAAAAAGTAATTTTATAACTTTGAACTTACAAACCATCATAGCATTCCCCACATCACATGATTGAAATGCTGGTGTTTCTCAATTGGTGAGCATTTACAACAATTTCCATTTGTATGCTTTATGGATGGCTTCTGACAAGCAGTAAAGAAGCCAGCAGTAAAAACACAATGGGAACTGCCATAAATCCATTCCAATCATGTGTTGTTTTGCTTAGCAATCATGTCACTTAGTGACAGAGCTGCCGGTCCCAATTGTGGTCGTTAAGGGTTATTAAAAATTACAATCTGATAATAAAAATGGGCATATATGAAGGGATTTTTGGGGGGATGTGCAGGTGCCTTTGAGTTGTTCTTGATTTCTGGCGAGTCCCTGCAGTTTTCTTGGTAAAGTTTTTCAGAAGTGGCTCACCAGCTCTTTTTATGCCTAAGGCAGGACTAGAACTCGCAATTTCTTGGTTTCTGGTCTGATTTCTTAACCATTGCACTCTCTTTATATGAATATTTTTAACATATTTGAACATTTGAAGTTTCATTTCTAATTCTGAGTAGAGTTCTTCTGCACATATACTGAAATCAGGATTTTTAATGCCATGATTATTATGATCATTACTGGGCATAGCTCAGCTGAAATACCTTTAAGTCCTTTTATTTTCAATGGGACAGTACCACTTAGATTTTCTTCACTCTTTCAGAATTAAATGGGATTTTATTATATCTATTAAAAATGAAATGCTTATCATTATCTCATCTATTATACAGAATTTGAAAATATAAAATGTCTATATACAAAGACTCATGTTATCAGTCGCTCAACTGAAGTCCATCCCTAGCTGTTATTTTTTTATGTTCCCATATAGCCTACACTAGACTTCAGTACATCTAAGTTGGGTCTGTATTTTGGAGAAACACTTATGAGAGCTGTGCTTTTTTGATTCAAAGGTATAAATATGCTTCCGATTATACAATAGTGCAAACAATCACAATCGGGACTGGAATTCCCATTGCTAAGCAATGTGATTTTAAAGTGTGATACCGCAGGACACATTGCTTAACAACAGTAATCCATGCAATCCCTATTGTTGCTGTTAAATAAAGATCATGAGTCATTAAGCAAGGGCCTCCACTTCGCGACATCCTGCTGGCTTCCAACAGGCAAAGTCAATGGGGAAGTTGGCAGGAAGTCGCAAGTCCTGGGCACTTTACAAGCAGGCCAGTGGGTGGGTAAGTAGATGCTGCAGCACAACATGAGCACACCTAGGTAGGAGTGGTTGCTGCCGCGTATGGGAGGCTGTGCAAGTGACTGCTGTGGCGCAAATGTGGTCAGGGCAGGGATGGCCATTGCCAGGTGTGGGAGGCTGTGCAGGCAGCTGCCACAACACCATACAAGCACACTTGGAGGGATACTATGGAGTGGGAAGGGGCACTGAGGAGAGGCATGGGCTACAGAATATGAGATACCTAGAAGAAAAGTAGTGGAAGTGAGAACAACTTAAAGAAGTCACTTGCAACTTTCCTGCTGGCTTCCTTATTCTGGTTAGTAACTAAGTACACTGCAACTATTATAATCAGAATCTGAAGAACACCAGAATTATGATGTCTATCATTTAATAAATCAAATTTGGCATTTAATATATAGCAGAGAAAAAAAATCACAAAGTACCATTATAGCCAAGATAAATATCAAAAGTCTACAAACTGTCTTGGCAATGGGATAAACAAAGAAATACAGGCTACATAGTGGCTTATTTTATATATAATGGTGGCAAGACTGCATCAAGTAAAAGTTGTGAGAAGGACAAGTTATCTTATTTTCATTGTACCCAAACAATCAGCCTAATTAACAGAACTATAAAATATCACAGTTGGAAGGGAATTTGGAGTCTTCTAGTCCAACCCCTTGCTTAAGCAGGAAACCCTATACCATTTCAGACAAATAGTTGTCCAATCTCTTCTTAAAAACCTTCATTATTGGAGCATCCACAATTTTTGGAGGCAAGTATTTTCACTGATTAATTGTTCTAATTGTCAGGAACTTTTTCCTTATTTCTAGGTCGATTCTCTCCTTGATTAGTTTCCATCCATTACTCTATCTAAGTTGACTGACTTTTAAGATCATATTTAGCATTTTAAATTTTAATTTTAAAGATGCGATAAAACAAATATTTTGCACACATTTCTAAATCATGACACCCATCAATGAGTCAAAGCACAAAGTGTAATTTCAGATTAATAATAATGACCAAATCCACTACAAATACAGCAAATAGTGTAAAGGGGAAAAACTCTTAAGACCCCTTTTAACTAATTTCATTATCTGATAATAATTATATACTACACAGATAATAACCCAACATCAGCATCAGAGATAAACAACTCCTAACATGTCAGTATCACCACCAGAAAAGGTAATCCCACTTTTAGACTAAAATTACATCTTAATATCTGAAAAGTATATAATCAAATGTCACTATGATGACACTAAAATGTAACTACAGTATAAAATATATTCTGCTTCTGATTAAACAAAGAAAACAAATTTGAATCCTACCTAGTGACCATTACTCATTGCTAGTTTAAAATCTAATATCTTGCTAAAAATTTCACTCCACGTGTGGCCCAGCATAAAGCACAATTTGATATATGAGGAATTCAGAAAATTCCCAGAATGCCGATGCATATTAGCTTAAAAACACTTATGGCATTTTTGTAATCTTAAGACTTGCACTTAAAATGGGGTAGGAACATAACATTTATGTAATGAATATGTTACAGATTTAATAGCTAAGATTTGTATTTATAATATATTTTCTGTTCAAAAGAAGAAAACATTCCTATTTTAATTTGATTAACAGATGCTTAAAATAGCTGATTTTTAAAAAAAAAACACTTTAGTATTATCCTCTGTAATCAAGACAATTTAGTGAACAAGTCATTCATTTTTATAAGCACTTGACATAGAACTAAAAATAAATTTGCATGGGGAGATCAGCTAGGGCTGATATTAGATTCTTTTATTTTTAAGAATCTACTTGAATCAGTTTCAACCATTTTAAGGGGGGTGGGAGCTACACTTACTAAAATCCAGGAAGCTAATGGAACTAAAAAACAGGCACAAGTCTGTATTTGAAGCTATAACTATGTACCTCAAGATATAATGAATCTCTATAGCCTAAGTAATTATGACATTTTTTTCTTAACCCTGTAAAAATTCCCAGGCTTTTACCTCATAAGGCAATTTATCAAAGTATCCATTAGATGTCCAGTCTTTGAAGGCAGCAGTGCTAAACTGCTTGTTGAGACTGTCCATGCTGTTATAACTTTCTCTCTCCCCTTCTTCATCGTCATCTAGATCATTCATATCAATAACCAGAGTACTGAGTGAATGCATAGGTCTCTCTCTTAAACCATGTAGCACTACAGCATCAAACTCAGTATAATAATCCAGAAGGGAACTGTTTATTTCCAAACGGATTAAATTTGTAGGAAAATTTATTTGTTTGATATTAGGCGTAAACTGACGTGCCTGAGGCAAATTCACCTTGGAAGGTAGCTCTGACCAAAGGATTTCCCACCTACCAAAAGAAAAGTACATTAGTATCACAGGGCAGTTAATGCAAATATCTGTATTTTCATTTTCATTTTTCATTAATAAGTTTCAATTTGGGGAAAAAACACTACTAATAATAAAGAACATCGAACCGTGGCCAGTATAAAAGACTCTTAATAACTCTAACTCAACAATGTATGATAAATATCTTAACTCCCAAACATTAAATAACATACTGTATTAACATTAGCAATATTCTAGTGTTTTAATTCTTTTTTAACCTATCACTGCACTGGGAGGAGAACAAAGAGAGTAAACTAAAGTGAAGATCCAAAGATGCTTTTTCATTAGGGAACTGACTTTCTTGTTTTTCTTTGAAGATGTTTCGCTTCTTATCCAAGAAGCTTCTTCAGTTCTGACCATAAAGTGAAGATGTACTTCAGTAACAAGATAGTTAAAAATACCCTTTGGTTAACTCTGAAATTAAACCACAACTTGCTTAGTAGGACAAGAACTGAGACATTTGACTCCAAACCTATACTCAGGCTATTTAGCATTTGGAAACCAATGAAGTTTTAATGTAGTATACAGGTAGTCCTCAACTTACAACATTCATTTAGTGACTGTTCAAAGTTACAACAGCACTGAAAAAAGTGATTTACAACCATTTTTCACACTTACGACCTTTGTAGCAGCCCCATGATCATGTGATCAAAATTCAGATGCTTGGCAACTGGTTCATACTGATGACCGTTGCTGTGTCTCAAGGTCATGTGATCATCTTTTTGCAATCTTCTGACAAGCAAAATCAATGGGGAAGCCAGATTCACTTAACAACCAGGTTACTACTTATCAACTGCAGAGATTCACTTAACAACTGTGGCAAGAATGGTCGTAAAATAGGCCAAAACTCAATTAACAAATGTGTCACTTTGCAACAGAAATTTTGGACTCAACTGTGGTCATAAGTCAAGGACTACTGTACTATTAAGATGGATCTACAGGTCAGATTTCTGAAGCAATTTCAAGAACTCTGTTGCCCAAATAACTTACAGCATCCTTTCCTAAACTGAAGCACTGCAAAACACTGAATACTGTGAATATAAAAAGCAAATAAATGGGATCAGGCAGCTTTCATTTGCAAAGACCAGACCATAGAAAAAAAGAATTCCTTTTCTTGCTACCTGTAAAGTCCAAACAGTTTGTAGGTAACAAAGACATTTTCGGAGGGAGGATGGGGGTAAATATGTAGAATTTTCTATGAAAAAAATGTTACTTTAAATATCTGAACACACCATATCAAGGAAAGACAGAAAAAATTAATAAAATGAATTACCTTACTTCACTGGGCTGATTTTGTGAATAAGGACTTGCAGAACATGCCAAAATCCTAACCACTGCACCAGGATGATACGTTTCCAAAATATGTATGGCTGTAGGATACACTTGTTCCTCAAATGCAAGTTCTACATAGTCCTGGCTTTGGAAATTGGGTGGCGTCCTCATAAATGGTATTCGCGCACTAGGGCACATATCCCACCATTTTCCATAGGTCCTAAACACAGCGGTTTGTGTAAAGTCACCTGAGCTAGGATACACATTAGGAGTTCCAGCTAAATTCCACATAGTATATGACATGCTGTTTTCACTGCCATAATGGGAGCTGAAGTGGTTGTGAAGAAACCGTATGACCTGGTTAAGTTGTAACTATCCATCCCTAGATAAACTAAGTTATCGAGAGGCTAACAAGTAGTTAAGAGGGGAACATCGACAGGACCGAGCCGCGGCTTCCGTTTATATCATTTTGTATGAGTCTTGGCAATTGTATCCTTTATGACCTCTGTAGGCTTGTCCATCATTTCAGGAGGAGAAAGTCAGTATCTTCAAGACTTCTTTGTGAGAAGTTTGAAACAGAAAGGACCCTAAATAAAAGCCCAAACAGTTGTCAATTTAAAAAAGATTCAAGAATTCAAGGAAACTGTAAATTATTTGAAGCAGATAAACATGTAATACAGGTAGTTCTCAACTTACAACAGTTCATTCAATGACCATCTGAAATTACAACAGCACTTACAAAAGTAACTTTCACACTTATGACCGTTGCAACATCCCAATGATCGTGTGACCAAAATTTGGATACTTGGCCACTGACTCATATTTATGATGGTTGCTGTGTCCCGGGGTCATGTGATCACCTTTTGCAACCTTCTGACAAGCAAAGTCAACGGGGAAAGCCAGATTCATTGAACAACTATGTTACTAACTTAACAACTGCAATGATTAAATGAATCTCTGCAGTTGTTAAGTTAGTAACATGGTTGTAACATCATTTAACTACTGTGCCAGGAAAGGTCATAAAATGGGGCAAAACGCAACAACTATCTCACTTAGCAACAAACATTTTGGGCTGAATTGTAGTTTTAAGTCGAGGACTACCTGAATAACATAAAAATAGTTACTAAAATATCCAATCAGAATATCAGCATTTAATAAAAATACTGTATTAAAAATAAATATTGCTAATAAGATTTGATAATCAATTAGTTAATTATTAATAATATTTGTTTCTGAGTCAGTTTGACTCAGTGGTTAAGGCACTGAGCTAGAAACTGGGAGACCATGAGTTCTAATCCTGCGTTAGGCACAAAAGCAGTTGGGTGACCTTAGGCCAGGTACCATATTCTCTCTAATCCTTAAGGAGGCAAAAATCTTCCAAAATCTCCCCCCCCCTCTACAAGAACTAATCTAGGCAATTGCCAAAGTCAAAGGCACTCCCCCCAATCAATTGTAATATTGATTACAATATTTATGATATAATAACAAAACTTAGTCTCAAAAGAACTGAAAAATCAAAATGGAAATTAGGAAACGGGTCCTACAACTAGGCACAGCACAAAATGATGGCTGCTGTGCTACAACATAAATAATCCCACACTTTGTATGAACTAACAAAAAGCTCTGACAACAAATAGTACAGATCATGTGTGCTGAAATCACAAACACTTTTAGTAAGTAGAGTTGTGCAAAGAGAATTTAAGAAGCAGCATCCTTTGGAAGATCACACAGCTGCTTCAAAGACGTCCTTGTTTGACTACTTGTACTGAGGATAGCCTTTGTTCAGAACAGACTAAGCCTTTTAGAGCATAGTTTCTTTATTATTTCAAACAGGCATGCTTCACTCCCACTTACGTGCTTTTAAAGAAATATAATGTTAGTGCTTTGCACAGCTCTAATAATAAATATCTGTTTGAGTCTTTTGTGTTCAAATCCAGTAATACCTATTTCAAAGACATTCCTGATGTAAATAAACAAGTTCATTGCTCACAAATATGAAGGGCACAATAAGTGAACCAAAATCTGAATATAGAAAATATGAAAATATCCAGAAGTAAGCTTTTTTCCTACCCAGAGGAAAAAACTATATTTCCCCCCAAATTTCTACTATTAACTACCAGCACAATTTTAAATAATCCATTTACTCATATGGCAAATTTGGCCTAGTCCCCAAAATATAAGTCATGTTCCATATACTATTCAACTAAATATATACCATTATTTCTTTCTAAAACTGCAAGAAAAAAATACATAAAGACTATCTCTTAGGAAAATAAAAAAGTAGCTCAATGCTGTTTGATAAATAATAAAATTGATTCCATTCCACCACTTACAGGTTGATTGAGTACATATTAATAATAATAATAATAATAATAATAAATTTAATTTATATGCCGCCCTTCTCCCAACGGGACTCAGGGCGGCGCACAACATATTTAAAACAAAACATAAATACATTCCCCCCCGATAAAACCGAATTAAATCAAATTTTAAAGTTGTGTCTCTGTCGAATTGTTAAAAGATAAACCCCAAATAAAATCCTCCCTAGG